GGCTGAGGTACTGCAGCTGCGCAAAGGCAGGGGTGGCTGAGAAGGAGGGAGAGGAGGCCTTGCCGGTGAAGAACCAGCGAAGGTAGCGGTCGGCTGACAGGGCAGAGCCATGTTGTCGTCGCCTGTCGTTGCCATTGACCGGAGGCAGCTCACACCGTCCGAGCAACGTCAGCTTTCTCATCGTCGCCGCTAGCCCCGGAACTGATGAGGAGGAGGAGGCAGAGGGCGGGAGTTGACCAGAAGCCACATTCCGCTGTTCGGCGGCAAAAAGGTGAAAGTTGGGATTGAGCTTCAGCTCCTGAAGGTGGTCCAGCGAGCCGACCACAAAGGAGGTCACCAGGTGGAGGGCGCCGTTTGGATTGAGCGGCTTCAGGTTGAGTACCTCCAGGTGGACGCCCTTGTAGAGCAGTGCCTGCAGGCCGTAGCACAGCCGAAAGTCGTCCAGACGGTGGCAGTGGCCGAGGTTCAGAGATCGCAACGGCGTGCCCAGCGCCTCAATGTGGGCGCCCGTCAGCTGGCCGTTGAAGGAGACGTTCAGGTGCTCTAGCACTCCGCTGCCTATCGTCTCGCCGATGGTGCGAATGTCCGCATCGAGGAGGTCGCAGTTGATCAGCTCCAGACGGGTGACGCCTCGAAGGTGGTCCGCCACGCTGGCCAGCGTCACCGTGAAGGTGCAGTCGATGAAGGTGGCACTCTTCAGCTGCTTCTGCTGTGGTTGTTGGCACCAGCTGAACTCCGTGGTCAGCCACCACTGGCCGACGAGGAAGTTGAGCATCTTGAGCTGCTGCAGGCCGGCGTGGTTGGCAGCCAACGGTCGAAGTATCTGACGGTAGTGGCGGACGTAGTAGCAGTCGGAGATCGCCTCTCGGCGAAAGAACTTGCTCGTCGAGTAGGGCGCCAAGCAGATGGTCAGCTCCTTTCGAGGCTGTTGAAGTAACAAAAAATGTCAATAGTTAGTCGAACCACAATTAACAAAACTTCTAAATCGAACCGTTAAAATGCGTCTGATGATCAGTTCATTCCAGCCACTGCAGACACGTCGCAGCAGCACCACCTCTCGCAGTTTCAAGTACTCCAGAATCTTCAGCCAGAGATCACCGCAGAGCTGTGGGGTATGTTCGTTTGGAATGAGCATGGTGGTGATATCTTCAAGCGGCAGATAGCCTTCCGGCATTGGCCATTGCCGGTTCGGGTAGAGGAGATCCATGAAGTCTAAGTGGAGTTTATGGGGAGAGAGAGAACACCGATGCCAAGCCGTCTGCTTCTGCTGCAGCTGATGATGATGATGACGCAATGTAAACAAAGTGCTCACCAGCGCTTTAAACGGCAGTGAAGCGGCTTGAGCGAGGAACAATGCCGTCCCTGGCTCGAAAAAGGACGGCCTTTCTCCTCTCGTGTGCTTTTCTTTATGCCAAAAACATCAGCTTCCACTTTCTGACAGCTGGTCCGGTGTTCAGTTTGGTGATACTTATCACCCATTTTTCATCACCGAAATGTCCTCCCCGGAGCGGATCCTGGAGCTGAAGAAGGCAGGCAACGTGGCGCTGCACTCGGGCAGCACCTCGGAGGCTCTGCAGCGGTACAGCCAGGCGCTGGAGCTCTTCGCCGCCAACTTCCACCTGGACGCCACCGAGGGACTGCAGATGAAGAAGTTCAGCGCCGGCTCTGCAACGCCGCTGCTCACCGGTGAACGCCTCTGCCGCCTCGAGTCGAGCCTGTACAGCAAGCGGTCAGTGGTGCTGCGCAAGCTGGGCCAGTTCTACTTTGCCATGGAGGACGCCAAGGCGGTGGTGGCCATCTCACCGGAGTGGTTCAAAGGTTCAAAGGATACTTGAAGAACCAGTTTTCCAGCAACCTATTTACCTTCCCTTTACCTTTCAGGGTACCTCCGTCAGGCGGACGTCGCGCTGGACTGTGGCCTCTACGAGGCCGCCCTCAAAGACTACCAACTGGCGCTTCGCTATCTCGACTATCGAAAGGAGATGAAGGCGGAAGATGAAGAGGAGGAAGAGGAGGGCAGAACGTTTGGCGGCGGCCTGTCACTCTCTTTCAGCAGCGCCCACAGCAGCCACAGCAAGTCGGCCAACTACGAGCGCTTCATCAACCAGAAGATCGCCCACCTTCTCATGCAAATGCAGCGGGAGCGGGCGCTCGACCTTCAGCTGCCCTGGATCGGCGCCGCCCTCGGCCTAGTGGTAGGCATGGCGCTAGTCACCTGGGACTACGTCCACCACCGCGGCCGCCGGGCGGACTGCCTGGTGGGCCATCCGATGCTGAAGCTGGGCGCCATTGGGGCCTCTGCCTACCTCTTCTTCTCGCTGGCGACGCTCCATCGGCGCCAGTCTCGGCGGCGGCGTCAGGAGCTCCTCGACGTGCCCTACTCAGTGCAGAGGGCGAGGAAGGATAGATAGAGAATAGTGGATAGGGGAGTTTTTCATATTCAAATGATCTCACACAGTCTAGTCGTTAGTGCTTTCTTTTCTAGTTTAAGAATTGTAAGATAATAACAACAACAAAATACTACGTCTGCCCTCCATGTCCTCCTCCACGACGTGGCGGAGGTGCCAGCAGATGTCGATTGGGTCGGTCTGGCCGGACTCCACTGCCGCCCACCTCTGCCTCCTCTGGTCCCTCATCATCCTGTTTGCCTTGTTCCCCTCCAGCCTGTCCATCCATTTCCTCCTCCTCCTCCTCCTCTTCCTCGTCCTCCTCCTGAATGTCCTCATTGAGGCCGTTTGCCCGTGACTTGGTTCTCGGCAGCTGACCTGCCTCCATCTCCTCGATTGCCTTTCGCAGCTCCTTGAGCGCCACCACGCCCACCAGAGTGCCCAGCGAGGTGACGTACGCCAGCTGCAGTCCCAGCAGGGAGAAGAGGTTGTGCACCTAGGGAGAGAAGTTCAACAAATTGAGCCAAAGTCAAAAGACAGCAATCCAACTTACCTTCAACAGCGAGGTACCTTCCATCAGCTGAAAGGGCGCCGGATCAATGGGACAGTTGGTAAAGTCCACTCGCACATCCAGCTGCTCCTCTTCCCAAGCGACTGTCTGTAAATCAAAAAGAAGGAAACTCTTTTTCAAGCTGCTGAAAAAGAAACCGAAAAACTCACCCCAAGCGACGTCACCTCAATGGTCTCCTCCGCCGGCGGCTCCGAGACGGCGTTCACCTGAAATCGCCGGTTTTGCTGAAGATTGGGCTGCGATCCGAGCTGCCCTTGTTGTGGCTGCTGCTGATGCTGCCCCGTGGGCCCATGCACCGGACAGTTGGCGGCCACCTGGGCGCTCAGACTTTGCATTGACTTGCGCAGCTCAAAGACCATCCGCTGGCGGCTGAGGTGGTTGTCGAGGAGCGCCTGCAGCTCCGTCCGCTCCACCGTGCCCAGGAGGATCATACTTTCGGGCGACTTGACGAAGGGGAAGATGCGCAGCTTGGCGCCCGTCTTGGAGCTGAGCAGGTGGCGCAGGTAGCGGTAGGTGCACTTGCCGAAGACGAAGAGGAGGTCGCGCTCCATGAAGTCCTCCACGAAGATGCGGTGGCCGGTGGAGCTGGAGGGGAGGATCGAGGGCAGGTAGGGCAGCTGGGAAAGAGGGAAGAAAAGTTAAAAACTTAAAACCATCCCAACTTCCACTTCTTTACCTTCTTGAGGATGATCAGCGAGTCGTAGATGGAGGGGCAGAAGAGCCGGGCGGTGATGGTCGCCGCCAGAATGGCCACAATGACCGGCAGCAGATGGGTCACCTGGCCGGTCATCTCGAAGGCGATGACGGCGGAGCTGAGGGCGCCGGTGTTGGCGCCGGCGAAGGCCGCCGAGCCGGCCACCGCGTAGGCGCCGGCGAGAATTGGATAGTCGGAGCGGTCCTGGAAGGGGTTGATGCCCTTCGGGAAGAAGTAGGACATGCACTCGCCGTAGAATCTAAAAATCGGGGAAAAGAAGGTTAGCCCAAAAAAGAAGAAGCTCACCTGACTTCAGTCTGACTTGCCTTCCCAAACCGGCGCCGATCTTAAAACTGGGCACAATCAAGCCTAGTGGAATTGGCATTGTTGCTCCCACGGCCACAACCACCAAATTCATGACAAAGAAGAGGAAGGTGTTGACGAAGACGTTGGTGTACGGTGTCCGCCAGTTGTCCACTATCTCATCGTGGTCAATCAGCCCCTCCAAACTGTGCCAGCTGAAGTTGCTGAACAGCTCGTGCATGCTCTCCTCGGAGTTGAGCCAGCTGGCGTAGAACTGCCCCAGCGTGCCCGGGAAGGAGACCAGGGCGATCAGGGTGGTGAGGGCCACCGGGTAGGCGAGCGGAAAGCGGCGGAAGAAGTCGTTCATTGGATTTCTCCGGCGGTTGAAGAGCACCACTGCTCGGTTGAGCGAGACGAAGACGTAGGCGGAGAGGCCGCAGAGGATGCCCAGCAGGGCGAAGCTGATCAGCTCCAGCGTCTCGTAGGGGTGCTCCAGGCGGAAGTCGGTCTTGAAGATGTGCGTGATGCTCTCCTCGAAGGCGAACCAGACGGTGAGCAGGCGCCAGAAGAGGGCGCCTACAGTGGCGGCGAAGAAGCCCTGGAGGAGGAGAAGGAGTTTGGAGGAGTTTCAAAATTTTTTTGAGCGCTAAACTTCTAAAACCTACCTGCCAGTATGAGCGGACTGAGAAGAAGACGGAGACGATTTCAATGGAGTAGAGGACGCCGCCCACCGGTGAGGCGAAGGTCACGGCGACGCCCAGTCCGCAAGCGACGGCGATTACCTGATAAGAAAGAAGAAAGTTTTAAAGTATTTAAACTTTTGTGGTAAACTTGCCTCAAAGAACCGGCTCTCGTACTCCTGAGGGTCGGTTATGTTGGAGAATAGTTTCATGAACTGGTTGGCCGCCATGGAAGAGATGTGGACGAATCTGAAGGGAGAATTGACGATGTTCAGAGCGATTCCAGATGAAGAAAATGTCCACTCAGCAGTTCAACACTTACGGTCCTTCCTTGCCCAGCGGTAAGCCACTGCCTAAAGTGAAGGTAAGGCCGATCACCTTGGCGATCAGCGTCTTGAGGTTGAGGTACTCTGGAAAGAAGTAAGGAGGTTCTGTCAAAGATCTTGTCTCAGCTCAAAAGACGATCTGCACCTTTAAGCACCACTCCTCTCAAGACGACCTTCATCTCGGAGACGCCCGATCCGGCGGCTTGTGGCGCCAGAAAGCGCGTCACTATGGCCGAGATGAGCACCATCACCACGGTAAAGAGGGTCCAAAGGGCGAGGCTGTAGAAGAAAACGGTGGTCAACTTGTTGGTGAGGTAGTCTCGCACTGAAAAAGAGATAGAAAACAGTGTCAACAAAAAACCTAGACTTTTCAACAACAAAAGCTGCAAAAAGAGCACTTACATTCAAAGAAGGCGTGCACGGCAATGTCCATGGAGAAGCTGAGCGTCGCCAGGGAGATCGCCAGAATGGTGAAGAAGATCATGTCGCCGCCGCACTTGAAGATCCTCCGAATCAGCGTCAGCACCTTGGACGGATGCTTTCGACTGTTGTTCGCCTCCAGGCCTCTGGTGCCGTTTTGATTTCGATTGCGGTCCTCCTGCAGCGCCGTCAGCTTCTCCGCCTGCGTGAGGGCAAAGTTGGCGAGGTCCTCGCGGTACTGCCCGAACATGATCGACTGCTCGTAGTCCATCACCGAGCTTCGCCGCCGGTTCGCCGACCGCCGCTCCTGGGCGGTCACATTGGAGCTGGGGCTGTAGTAGTTCTGCATCGTTTTGGTGATGGTGAGGTCTTCAACCAGGCAGAGGCAACTCCCAATCAGAGAGAAAGCTTCGGTTGTTGTTGTTGTTGTTTGGCAAAGCCTAAGGATTGGCAACGCTCAACCGGCCAGCTCTCTCATTCACCTTCTTGCCAACTAACTGGCTGCGCCACCCGCTGTTTCACCCAATGCCCAAGACGATCAATCGAAGAAGAAGAAGAAGAAGAAGAACAGTTAAGGCAAGTCCAGCAGGGGGCAAACCAAACAGTCTCAGCCTTTTGTCGCGTCATCGTGATTTGAATCTTTTCTTACTCGAGCCGCTCCTCTCAAGCTCTCATCGTCAGACATCTAAACGGTTGCTTTCTTCATTTTTCTACATTTTTTAAGAGAAGAAGCAGCAAATTAAATGCACTTTTTTATTACATGATATGATATGGTGAACAAGGAGGAGAAGAAGAAGAAAAAGAAGAAGGAAGACAAAAGGTTATGGCTGCTGCTGCTGCTGCTCAACAGCGTTGACAATCACAAAAACTCTTGAGAAGCAGAGTGGTGGTGGTGGTGGTGGTATGATATGTGCAAATGGTGGTGGTGGTGGTGATAATGATTATGGTGGTGGCTAAAATGGAGGGGGATATTCGAGGTCACCATCATCACCACCACCTTGAGTACTTTTCGGGGTGTAAAAAGGTATATAAAAAAATGTTATCAAATCAGTCGTGAAATGTCTGCCTGTGTTTGTGCTTGTAAATTACTATTCAGCAATCAAGGTAAACGTTAAAAAATTGAAAAACAATAAATAGTGAAGAAAGGGCGAACAAAGGAGATAGAAAAGGAGAGCGTTGGGATAGAAATGAGAATTAAAATTGAAAAATTGAGGATGAAAAATCTAAAAATGGTCATCATATCGTCGTGGAGAGGGAAAAAAGAGGGGACACATGGAATGCCAGAGCCTGACTGCAGTTCTTCTCATCATCCTCATCATCATCACTTTGGTGCAGCCGCTAAAGGTTTTAAAATAGTGGGGGATTAAAAATGGATCAAAGCCTTTTTTAGATGAGATGAGATGAGACCAAAGCGAGTCAGTGAGTGAGCAAAAGTTTGGCGGTAGTTTTCGTCCCAAAAAAGGAAGAGAAAGAGGAACTGAAAAGTCCCCTTTTCAGTCCTTATCACTGTGCTCCTTGCTGCTGTTGATCTCCGAGTCGTTGGTGGCCAGCGAGGTGAGCGTGTCCTCGTACTGCGGATCACAGTCCAGCGAGTGAATGTAGGTCGAGTCGGGCGAGTGTTTGGGGGCCAGCAGACCGGCGTTCATCTTCTCGATGCCCATTCGAAGCTAAGAGTGGAAAGAAAGAAGTAGTTTTTAAAAAGGTGAAAATTTCAAAAGTAGAGTTCAACAAGTCATGAAAGCCTTACATCCTTGAGCGCCACTACGCCCACCAGTCGACCGATGGAGGTGACGTAGGCGTGGCTGAGGCCGAGCATGGAGAAAAGGGAGTGGACTTTGAGGAGTGTCGTCCGCTCGACCAGCTGAAAGGGCGCCGGGTCGATTGTGCACTCGTTGAAGTCGACCATCGAGTTGAGCTGCTCCTCCTCCCAGGCCAGCTGCTCTTCAGGTGACATGTCAATTACTCGTTCACGGGGCTGAGAAAAGTAGTTGAAGTGTTTAGAAATTTGCAAAATTTTAAGAACTTTCTGGACTTACTAGCTGAACTCTTCGGTGATAACTGGAGGGCGGCGTCTGCACCGGTTGCTGCTTGTTCTACAAAAGAATACCAAAAAATTAACAAAAACGCTTCAATGTTTAAAGAACCTTTATCACCTTGTCTGGATTGGCGTCTTGCAGTTTTAAACTCTTTAGGAAGATGTTCTCAAATGCTTGACGCAGACGAGAGTCAGCTAGAAACAAAAGATTATGTTTAAAAACGAGTTTTAAAGTTACAGTTTACCTTGAGCGGAAAGCGCCGTGACGGTGGCATTAGGCGAGTAGGTAAAGGAGATTGTCTGCTTGAGAATAGACTTGGGCGACTTGACGCCGCTTCCCGACTCAATTCCACCTCCGGCAGACATCGTCTGCTTTCCAAAGCCGACGGGCGTCACCTCAAAGCGGGACATCTTTCGGGCGTTGATGTCCCGTGGCAGTGACTCGTAGTGGACGGTGGACATTTTAATCGACTGACCGCCTCCATTTTCCGTGGGATCAGGCGGCGTGAGGGCGAGTGCATCCTGAATTGAGTACCGCCGACGCACCTCCTGCAACCTCCTCTCCCGGGAGAGGCGACTGTGACTGAGCAGCGCCAGCTGATCCCGCTGAATCGACCCGAGAAGGATCATATTGAGGCCATTGTCCACCAGCGGAAATGACTGCAGCGTGGGGTGGCCGGCCAGAACGGCCTTCACGTCCCGGTAGGTGCAGTTGCGCCAGATGCAAACGACGTCCCGCACCATGATGTCCTCCACGTAGATGTTGTGCGCCGAGGAGGAGGTGGTGAGGATGGGCGGAAGGAAGGGCAGCTTCTTAATTTGAATGATCGAGTCGTAGATGTTCAGGTCCAGTGTCTGTGAGATGGCGTTCGCTATCAGAACAGAGATTATCACCGGAATGATGTGCGTCATCTGCCCGGTCAGTTCGAAGACGATCACGGAGACGCTGATGGTGTGCGTGACGGCGCCGGCAAAGGCGGCGGCGCCTGCAGAAAAAATCGAAGTTGTTGATAATGGAAATCAAGATCTAAATTGTTCTGTTGATAAGACCACCTACCCACCACCGCATAGCCACCCGGCACAATGGGATTGGTGCTGCCGCCAAAGGGAACTCCCAAAGGGAAGAAGAGGACCATCAGTTCGCCTAAAAAGAAGGTAAAAAGGAGTTAGAATCTTGGAAGAAAGTTTTTCACTAAAATTTTATTTACCAACTAGTCGGCCAAAAGCGGCGCCAATCTTAAAAACCGGGATAAAAGTACCGCTGGGCACGGGAATTGTTGACGCAATCAAGGACATCCAAGTCTTAAGAGGTTTAAACATGATTTTACAATTCTAAACTTCTAAAACAACCCCCATACCGTCATGAGCACATAAATAGTCAGGTTGACGTAAATGGAGGTGTGATCAGTGGACCAGTGTTTCACCATCTTCAGTCGCGTCGAATCGTTGGTGCTGGCGCCCCAAGTGACGTTGCTGAACAGGTCTTCAATGGTGTCGTGGTTTGAGAGCTGATAAAAGAAATGATAAATAAAACATTTTAAAGTTTTAAAGTATTAAACCAACCGTAGCTGCCATGTACTTTCCGAGAAAAGGCGGAAAGGAAACAATCAGGAGAATGAAGGTGACTAGACCGGGGTAGATGAAGCGACTATCAAAAAGATAAAACAAGTTTAAAAATGTAGAAAAAAGTTTCTCTTTTTATCTCTTACTTTGACTGAAGAAAAGCGTTTAGCCGTTTGTGATTTCGAAAAAAGTGCACAATTTGCCGGTGAAACTTGACGTAGCCGGCTCCGCCAAAACCGCAGAGGACGCCAATCAGCGCGAAAACAAAGAGTTCTTGAGGGTCAAAGGGAAAGTCCGAGCGAAAACTGGTCTTAAAAAGAGCAGTGATGGCCTCTGAAATGGGTTAAAAAGAGGTTTTTAAACTACAAACTTTCCAAAAAATCAATTGTTTTACCCTCATTCTTAAACCAGACGGCAAAGAGCCGCCAGACGGTGGCCCCGCAGCAGGCGGCGAAGAAGCCTCGCCAGTAGTTGCGCACTGCAAAGAACACCGAGGTGACCTCGATGCTGAAGAGCACCCCGCCGATGGGCGAGTAGAAGGTGGCGGCCACGCCCACTGCACAGGCCGCCGCCAACATCTCGCCCGTCCTCGACTCGTTGTCGTAGATGCCCTGAAAGGAGGTGACCAGCTTGGAGAGCAGCGTCGCCACAATCGAAGCGACGTGGACAAAGCTGAAAGGAAAAAGAAATTATAAAAAGATTTCACAAAAAGAAATTTAGACTTACGGGCCCTCCTTGCCCAGCGGTAAGCCACTGCCCAGGGTACAGGTGAGACCGACCACCTTGGCGACCAGCGTCCGAAAGGTGAGGTACTCGTGGAGGATTACCCCCCTCAGCACCGTCTTCATTTCGGGAATGCCAGAGCCGATGGCCTAGATTTGTTTTTTGTTCAATGAGTTTTGTTAATCTTTAAACCTAAACTTTTGCTTTTTTTGTTGCAAATTACCTGCGGCGAGACAATGTGCGCAAAGCCGGCGGAGAAAAGTATTAGCAGCATGGGAATGACTGACCAGCCGACAAACTTGAGGGCAAGGTTGTTGCCCAGCAGCTCCGCGTACAGCCACATACGGGATTTTTGGCACTGCACAATGAAAACTGAAGGTGGAGTTCAAAAAGATCTAAATTAAACCTCCTAGAGTACCTAAACTTTTGTTTTTTTTGTTGTTACTCCTTAAACTTACAGTCCATGACAAAGCTGAGAATGGCCATGATGATGCCCATCAGCGCAAGGAAGAGCCAGTCCTCGCCAATCTTTGCAAAGGTGTACTTCCATATTACCGAACAACAGGCTGTTTGTATTGTCACGGGGTGTCAAGGACAGGGAGTGATTGAGTTTTTGGGTATTGTAGAACATTGTTAGTTGAGGTGTCAAAGTCTATTTTTTGCTACTTTTTTTGGCAGCCAACAGCATCAGCAGCAGCAGCGGCAGCAACATTCTCAAATTCCTCATCTCAACTCATTAAAATCATCAGCCGACAGCAGCAGCAGCAGCAGCAACAGCCTTCGTTTTCAGGCGACTAGAAATACTCCAACTCAAGATCAACTAAACAGCAGCCAAGATAAGCAACAAGAAAAGAAGAAAAAGTTTCTGCAGCAGAACTGATGACAATTTGTGCGCCTCTGGCTAGAGGCCAAAGTGAAGGGGATGCTGCTGCAGCCGTTTTAGAAAACAACTGCTACCACCATTGTACAGCAATTACTGTCGTTGCTACTAATGAAGAGGCAGTGTCTGGCCGATCCAGTACATCGTTCCCTTCCTTCTATTTTACTCTAAATCTTCCGAGCAGCAATATGCATCTCACAGTCCTCTTTCTCATCATCATCATCGTCGACCATGTGTCAAACAAACATGTCTTGATGACAGCTTTATCACCACCACCACCGACGACGACAACGACATTGTGTGCACTGAAAAGAACTTTCTGAGCTACGATGTCCGCTTTGACTGATCCGCGTGTCAAGACGAGACAAGGGGGAAAACAGATAGCAGATAGGAGACAATGGAGCAGCGGCAGCAGCAATTGATAAGTGCTGGTGACAGCATCAGCAACAACTCGAATCTGGGAAGTCTGGGAAAGTTGGCGGCAACAGCAAGAAAAAGAAGTGCATCTCTGTCCCCCATCTTTCCCTTTCTCCTGATTAGTTTGAATCGATGGCGATTACACTGATCAATGAATAATCAATCACATCCTTTTAGTGCATCAGGGCTACCAATTTTTCCTCTTTTCAGTTCCCTTTTTTCTGTGCACCGGAAAAAAACTTGTACAGTGTGCGTGGCAACACCTACGCCAACTTGTGATTATAACCAAAAATTCGATGACGGTGCAATAGTGCAGCGCTAAAGTATCACTCAATTATATTCAAATTCCAAATGAGTTTTCACATACACAAATTGAGTACAAATCTCTCTGATCATCATCGTAAAAATAGAGAAAAAGATCTGTTCTTAGCAAGTGGAAAAAGTGAGAGAAAGCAAGTCAACCATGGGAAACGACACGCGGCTGCTGTGCTGTACTGCTGTCATCCTCAATGAGTGTTTGTCTACACTACCACTAATTGACGCCACTAATTACCACTAAATAGCTAAACTGCAACCAACTCTCAGTGCAATACTGGGCGCTCACTGTGAGCACCAATTAGCGTTTCTTTAGAAGAGTAAAAAACAGCCAAACTGACAGTATGCAAATACATCCGGAGCAGACGAGATGAAATTCTGTCAGACAAACGAGCATTTTTTGCCCTCTAACACATTTGTAGATGGCCACTGTCACTTGTTTTCCTTTCTTTCCTGTTTCTTTTCTGACGTCACCGTAGAGAGCATTTGTCATCAGTCTTTGTCCACACTTTGGTGGCGATGAGAACGGTGGTCGTACAAACAAGCAACTTGAAATGGCAACAATGTTCGAGAGAGTGAGTGAGTGTGTGTTGTGATTACTAATGGGACGCGACACCGAGATGACAGGCTCGAGCTAACAGGAGACATTGCGCACATCCTCAATCGATCTCTGCCTCTCTCCAGTCAATTGAGTGGTTTCCAGGCAGCAGCAGCAGCAATTTCTCTCGAGTATTGAATTGCCTGGTTATCGAGCGTCTGCTGAACAGGCTGATCATCGGCATCAGCAACAGAGTTCTCTCTCTCTCCGAAGATTGTCAGCCGCGGCAGCCCTCGCCGGACTCGACTGGACGACTGCTAATGAGCTTGTTTACTGCTGATGCTCGCTGACTGACTGACTGACACATGTGACGATCATCAAGTGTCGCAGCGAAAGATTCGTGTTGGAATGAAGGAGAGAAAAAGAGAGAGAGAAAAAGAGAGAGAGAGAGAGAGAGAGAGAGAGAGAGAGAGAGAGAGAGAGAGAGACGAAATGGAAAGACCGACTGACTGGATAGAGGTAAATGAGGAAATGCAACTGTGAACAGGCACTGCTGCTGTTGCTGCTGCTGTTGCCATTTGCTGTCACTTGCCGCCAGCGGTTGCAACTCTTATTTTTCTTTTGCACTATTTATGTTCTCTCTCTCTCTTCCACTTTTCTAAACCTGTTACCTGTGAGCTGGGGTACAAAGAGCTTGCCACCGGGCAGACGACTGCGGCGTTCGTCGCGCTTGTTCAGCCGGCTCAGCTTGGCGGCGTGGCTGCGGGCAAACTCCGCCAGGTCCTCCTTGTAGTGACCGTACATCTGAGAAGAACAAAATTGAAAAGAATAAAAGGTGTGTTCAAGGACATTCAAATGAAAAGAAAGAGGTAAAGGCAAAGGTAATTACCAAGGTCTGCTCGAAGCCGAGCATCGACTGCTTGCGTGCTAGGGAGCTCATCTTGAGGCCGTTGAGTTGAGCGCTGAGTTGAGTTAAGATGAGGATGACAAAAGCTGCTGCTGCTGCAGCTGCAGCTAATTTGCCAAGCACAATGGAGACAAAAAATCACAGAAGAGCAATAAATTTTCAAATGAAAAAAGGCAATCACAATAGATGTTGAGCAATAAAGATGAAGTTGAAGAGTAAGGAGGTACACCTAGACTCTCTGGACGGTAGAGCAGAGGTGCAACAGGTGGGTGAGGAAATTAAATTAAATTAAATAAAAAAAACTGGCCTTTGATGACACAACACAGAAACACAGAAACAAGGCAAACAAAAGGCACGCGTTCACTTCCACCACCACCACCAAAGCTGATGACTGAGTGCGTCAGTGACATTTACACATTATTAACTGCGCTGACGACGGCGGCGGCGGCGACGACGGTGGTGACATTATTATAAGAGAAGTGGAGAAGGTAAAGAGTACACACAGTGTGAACTGGTGAGAAGTGGGGGAAAGAAAGCAAAGAAGAAGAAGCTGTCATGATTTGCGGTCGTTTCATCGCCACTGCGAAAATCAATCAAATCAAATTGAAGAGGAGGGCGGTGGTGATAGAGGATGATGATGATGGAGGAGGAGGTGAAGAGAGGACTAGAAGAAGAAGAAGTCCAAGCGGCCACCACCACCACCGCAGCCGCCGCAGCCGCTTCTGCCGCTCTTCGCCAGCATTCAAAAGTGCTCATCAGCTCTTCTCATCTCCTTCTTCTACTACCAGCACAAACACCAGAGCATTATCTTCTTCTCCTGCTGCTGCTGCTGCTGTACAACTTTGACTCTGAGTGACTGTGTGTGGTGTGTACGTTTGCACTGACTGTCTGTCTGACACTGTCAGGCACTGGAGGCTTAGGATCTGCCGCCGAAGCAGCAGCGGCGGCGGCAACCGGTGCTACAAAAAATGTAAACGGACGCCAGGCAGGCACAGTCAGCCTGTCTTTCTTCTCTTCTTCTCATTTCATCTCATCTCATTGGCGCTGTTCGAGCTGTCGGCGAAGAAGGCTGCTCTCTCACTTGATGCCTTACCACCACCACCGCCGCCGCCGCCGCCGCCGTCATCGTCACCACCAGCAAGAGCAAGAACAGCAGCAGCAGCAGACGAACAGACGCTCGGTTACCACCATCATCACCGCCAGACAGACAGGCTGACGACCGTACACTAAATTGCTGCTCGACGCCAGGACAGCTGTTTGGTGCTGGAAAAACCACCACCACCAGAGAGTTTGTTTGGCAGGCTTGAACTGGTGGTGGATGGAGATCAAGTAGGCTGGCTGGCTGGCTAGCTTGCGCCAACTGGTGGTGATGGTGTTGAGATGTTTAGATCGAGGAGGAAAGATCTCGATCATGATGACTTTGAGTTTGAATACTTTTGATTTTTTTTGAGTTTTTGATTTGCAAAAGTTTATTTCGAGCTTTCAATATCGGTTGAGAATTTTTTATATTGTTCAAATGTGTTTGTGTGTGTGTGTGTAAGTGTGGTATGGTACAGTAACACAGTGCACAGTGCACAGGTGAGGCGATGTGTGCGGGTGATCATCCGCCGCCACCAGCACCTTCATCAGGTAGTCAGCACCTTCCCTGGTGCAAAAGGTCGTCAAAGGTTTGTGAAGTGAGTTCTCCCAGGTAAGTGGTCACAGTTGTAGTCGTCGTGGTCAAACAGTCGATGACTCAGTCAGTGTGTGTGTGTGCTTGAACATCAGCTAAACATCAGCGTAGAGCGTGAAAAAACGTTAGCGTGGCAAACACAGTCCAATCAATGCCTTTCATGGATCTTTCTAAATTACATCCTCCTCAGTCAACGAGCACCGACTTCTTGCGCTGTCGTTTCGAGGGCGACTTGCTCTCGCCGAGCGAGGGCGAGGAGGGCGCCGAGTGGAGGCTGCTCAGCGATGACTTGATTGAGTGCGGTGCCGTCTCAATCAGCCCGTCATCGCTGTCATTGTACGTGTCCATCGGCTGCTGCAGCGGCTGATAGCTGTAGTAACTGGGCGGATCGGCACACTTGGCCAGAATCGTCTTCTGGTGCTCATCATCGTCGATATCATCGTCGATATCGTCATCATTCTCGTCGTACTCATCATCAGCGTCGCCCTTGTCCCCGTCACCACCACCACCACCTCTGGTAAGACCAACTCCGTCCACAAATTCATAGCCGCCACCATAATCAGCACAATCTTCGCTGTGTTCCGCCTCGCTGTCACCCTCCTCCTCCTCCTGCCCTCCTCTCTTCTCCTTCGCCAGGTCAATGTTCGTAATGTTGAAGAGCTCGGTGAACTTCACCTTGTCCGTCACCGGGTCGGTGTAGTAGTAGGCGAGGGCGGCGTCCTGCTTGCGCGTAATCTCAAAGATCTGCTCAAAGTTGTCCGCCTGCTGGGCGGCGGCGGCGGCACTGGCCGCACTCTCGTCATCCTTGCCGCCCACGCCCACAGGATTACCTCCCTCGCGGCACTTCTCCAGAAACTCCTTCTCCCAGTCCAGCGCCCGGTTGGCAATCTCAATGGCGTTGCTCTGGTCAATGTCCGTCAGGTCAATGTCGAGCACTTTGTTGTTGTGCTGCTGGAGGTTGTGCAGGTTGCCGCTGCTGCTGCTGAAACTGCTGTGCCGTTGTTGGTTACTTTCGTTGAGGCTGTTCAGACTGTTTGAAGATTGATCCAGAAGGTGGTGGTGAGGATGGCCACCACTTGCTCCTCCGTCCACCGAGTCCACCGAGTGGTGGTGGCTGTCACTGATGTCCGAGACGGAGACAGACTTGTCCGACTTGTTCGGGTGCTTCATGTCCAGCTTAAAGTCAAAGTTAAGCTGCGAAATCACCCGCTCCGGCGGCAGTTGCTGCTGCTGCTGGTGCAGTGGGTTCAGCTTGGCAGTGTTTCCTCCTTGCTGACCGCCAATTTCAATCATCGACCGACGCCGGCCATACTGCTGGCGAGAGGCACTGGCGGCCGCGCCCCGGTTGAAGCTGCTGTTCGGACTGACGCCACCGGCACTGGCACCGGCGTGGTGGTAGCCAAACTCCCGTCCCGCGTAGGAGGTCTTGCGCAGTCGCTCGCTCTTCGACAGGCTCTCTGCTCGGCTCAAGGGCGAGGACTGCGGCTGCTGCTGCTGCTGCTGCTGATCCAGGCTGCTGGGAATGAGGACACTCTCCATGCTCCTCATCTGCTCACTGTTGCCACCGCCGTACCACCGGTACTCGGAGTTCTTTCGTCCCGAGAAGCTGTTCGCCTTCTCCACCCCTCCTCTCGAGGGCTTCGACGGCGTTCGGCTGATGGTCGACGAGGGCGAGGAGCCGGCGGTGTTGGGCGTCGAGACGGCGGAGGCAATCGGAGAGGTGCTGTTCACCACAATGCTGCTCTTCTTGCGCGTCGCCGCCGCCGTCGAGGTGCTGCTAATCTTGCGCGCCAGATCGGAGCTGCTCGTCAGCGACTGCGCCTCCTTCGCGTAGTTGAACTCCTTCAGGTCGAGCTGGCAGCTGAACTTGGCCGAGTAGAAGTACCGGTTGGACTCCATCTTGACGAGCAGCGAGCGGAGGAAGGAGACCAGGCGGAGGAGCGAGTTGCGCAGCTCCCGCTTAATGTCCGGCAGGCGGTCAATCAGCTTGCTGAAGACGACAATGGTGATGTCAATCGGGAGGAGGTAGGGAATGCTGAGGATGGAGAGCAGCTTCATCGGCTTGTGGCGGAAGAGCCAGTTGATGATGCCCTTGTTCACCTGGTCGCAGGCCTCCTGGATGGCTGCAGGGTTGGGAGAAAAAAATAGATAAGTTAGAAAGGTTTTTAATAACTCCTCTTCCTCAAGCTCACTTACCCTGAACGACCGACTCGGGCAGCGAGTCAAAGCCGGCAATCTGGCGGCGGTACTCGCAGTCACGACAGTTGTCCGAGTGAAAGTGGTGACCGCCACCACCGCTGAGAGCACTCCTCTCCGAGTGGACACTACTGCTACTACCGCCGCTGGTGCTCTTGCCCATGTGCTTCTCAATGCGCTTGAGGACCCGCTTCTCAAAGAGACTCAGCTCCTCCTCCTCCTCCTTGCGGACGTCCTCCTTCTCCAGCGTGAAGTGAATCGCCAGGCAGCGTGTGCAGGAGATTTTATCTGAAAGAAGAAGAAGTAAAGAAAGTTAAAACCTTGCAAATGATTTTTTCCCGTTATTTTCACTGACTGTTCCGCTGGAGGTAGCGCAGGGCGTCATCAAAGCCCTGCTGGCACATCTTGCTCAGCACCTCGGGGTGGGCGGGAAAGAGAATGCGCGTGATGCGGTAGAGGTTGGCCGGCGACAGGGAGATGGAGGTGTTCACCAGGTTCAGCTGAAAGAGGTTGTAGGTGTCGTCCTGCGGACAGATGTCCGACTCGCCGCTGAAGGGCGAAATGGTGACGGTGTTCTCGTCGATGATCGGCAGATTGTCGCTGCAGCCGCCGTCAATGTAGGTGATGCCGTTGAACTTGGGCGGCACCAGGCCCGACCAGAGGGGAATGAAGCAGGAGCACTGGATGGCCTGGGGGATAGGACAAAAAAAGTGGGAAAAGATGAAAAGGATGAAAGAGGGAGAAGGAATGGATGAAGAGGAGGGCACATCGTGATTAGCAGTAATCATGACATGTGTGTGTGTGTGTGTGTACATGCGATACAGCGCAAAAAGTACGACTAGAGTGCACCAGGCAGAGCAAGAGGGAAAGACATTGAGAGCCACTGCCGCAGCCGATTCTCGGAAATCGGCGACCAGGGACGATAAGACAGACACGACAGTGCGCTCTGCTGAGATTTCACGTTCAGTACACGGACTTGTTAGCACACACCACACGACACATGTCACCTCGCCGCATCGACACCTCCGCTCACATGTCTCTAGTGGAGTCTAGAAATACTAAAGCTGAACTCGATTAGAAGAAAAAGAAAAGGAAAGATGTTCCCGGCTACCAACGCTTCAGTGCTACAGCTGCGTCAGTTCGGCAGACAGCGTTTTGTGCGTTC